GGGAGAGGGACTGGGAGTGCTGGGGGACAACAGGGTGACCATGAGCCAGCAGCGTGCCCTGGGTACCAAGAAGGCCAATGGCATCCTGCCACACTGCGGGGTCACGCCCAGCTTTCACCCCCCAGTTCCCCCAGTCCCTCCCCGCAGGGCTGCTCTCTGTCCCTTCACCCCCAGCCTGTCTTGTTACCGGGGTTGCCCCGACCCCGATGCAGGACCCTGCACTTGGCCTTGTTGAACCTCACGAGGTTCCCACAGCCCCAGCTCTGCAGCCCGTCCGGGTCCCTCTGGATGGCATCCCCTCCCTCAGGTGTCGGCCGCACCACTCAGCGCGGTGTCACCTGCAAACTTGCTGAGGCTGCACTCAGTTCCACTGTCCATGTCGCTGACAAAGATGTAAAACAGCACTGGTCCCAGTCCCGACCCCTGAGGAACGCCACTCCTCACTGCTCTTCACTTGGGCATCAAGCCATTGACCGCAACTCTTCCAGTGCAACCATCAAGCTTCCAGTGGTAATAAATAGCTTCAGACTATTTTTTTTGCACCTTGAATGACACCGTAAGACCCCTGAGGAACGCCACTCCTCACTGCTCTTCACTTGGGCATCAAGCCATTGACCGCAACTCTTCCAGTGCAACCATCAAGCTTCCAGTGGTAATAAATAGCTTCAGACTATTTTTTTTGCACCTTGAATGACACCGTAACCTTTCAGAAAGGCAAGCAGCGCTGTTTTTAAGCAGAGACACCTGAAGACCCCACATCCCTAAAGACTCCAGAGCAAACGCAGTTAGTGAAGAGGAACAAAACCACCCCAAACGTGGTGCTCGCTCTCACTGTCAGCTCTGCAAACACAGCCAAGCAGTGTCAGTCCAGGTTCTCTCCCCGGCAGAGGGGCACACAGCTCTTCGACGTCAGCGTGGAGACGTCCTGTGTGCTCGACGTGCCCGGTGCCGCAGTGGAAGCAAGAGCTTACAGTGGGAGTGGAGTCCAGGCACCCCAGTGCTGTGGCTGGGGTTTTGCCCCCGCCAGCCAGCAGGAGCGGGGGTAGGGGCCCCGAGGAAACACGGGCATGGCAAAAGGAGATAACTTACATACCAGCATTGACAAATATGAGAGAAACAGGATTTGGATCGTATCTCTCACAAACTTTGTATGAACTGGCACTGTTAACAGAACGGGTTTCTCTAATTTATACCAAAATTTGCGGTGTCTGTTAGACCCAACAGTGTGTTAGCCCTGGGGAATATTGCTGCCCTCCTCTGCGATCTCCCTCCGTCAGACGGAGCGTTGCAGCAAAGCTGACTGCCGAGCCCTGGCGTCCCGCTTCCCCCGTCACAGGCACGAGGGGCCCTGGACAGCCACGTGCCGGCACCTCCAGAGCCCCCATCCCGGTTCGATGCTCGTGACGCTGAGAGCAGGAGCATCAGGGACCGGGCGTGCCGGGGAAGGGTGATGGCCAGAAGAGGCAACTGGCCACTGTCCGGCTGCTCAGGTTTTGAGGCCACCTGTGCCACAGGCACGTCCCTGTGCCATCTGCCAGGGTTGTCTTCCTTTAGTTCTGAGCTGGCTTCGGAGGGAGAGGGTGGAAGACGCCTGACCCTCAAGCCCTCCCATCCATGTGGCCCTTGCTGTGCTCCCCTCGCCATCAGCTTCCCTGTCCAGGCCGGACTCCATCCTGGGTGTCTTCAGCACCTTGGTCCCTCTCTTGTCTTCTCAGCCCGCTCTTGCCACTCATCTTCTCCGTGGAGTTTCTCAGCAGCCTCTGGAGACCCTCACCGGGTCTTTTCTCTATCGAGGACCTGCTCTGGCTGGTCTCCTCTGTGCTGTGGCAGGGCTGTTCACAGCCTGCTTTTCTTCAAACCATTTCTTTTCATAAATTTCCCGGACCTGTCCTACCTGTTTTGAGATGTCTGCTTGGCTTAGCTGGGTTTGCCCGAACAGGTTCCCACCTGCGTAGGATACAGGGAGAAGGAACCGGTGCATCATCCCTCCCCTTTCTGCTCCAGAAACAAGGCAGTGACTGTGACGCCGCTCAGCCCAGGTAGCATCAGCACATGGGCTGTTTTGCTTGGCAAAGGCTAAATCTGCAGGAAAATGAGCTTTTCCCTAGGTTCTTCCCCCATCTCTGGGCTTCCTGGAACAGCCAGGAAGAACAGGGGGAATTCATAATGACCTTAATGCCTCCTGTCCAATTGCCCCGCGTGGCAGGCCTGTCCCACCAGGAGAGCAATCCGGAGGTGACAGAAACAGTTCCTGGCCTTGGCCGTGCCTGGTGCTTCAGCTGAAATACTCTCGCTCCTCCGTGTGGAGCTTCGGCTCTGGCTGCGGGGGGCTGGGACACAGCTCCAGCTCTGCTCTTCCTGCGCTTCCCACACCGCAATGTCCTCAAGAGGCTGCTGTAAGCCAGGCCCGCGCTCCCATCCTCGGCCTGTTCGGGAGAATGAGGCTAGGGAGATTTTGAAAATTCTTGGAAAAGGCTTTTTGGGGATTTGTTTTTGTTTTTTTTTTCTCTCACTGAGTAGTTTATACCAGCTGCCATTCGGACCCGGCCCAAGCCTCCCTCACTGCTGGCCCACCGGTGGTGATGGTCACGGCTCTGGTGTGGTGGCACCCACCGCACAGTGCCCCTCGTGGGAAGTGGACGGGGCATCAATGTCCCCTGGAAGGCCGGTGGCAGCCAGCACGTCCCACCAACCGGCATTGCCTCCCCCGGGAGGAGAGGACACAGCGGCCGCGCCTCACCCCAGCAGAGCACCGGGGGAACAGGGTGCTGGTGGAGGACACTGGGCACCTTCAGCATGACACTGACCATCTGCGGGTGACGCTGGGTGACTGTGGCGGCAGATTAAGCCCCGCGCTGGGTTCAGCGGCACGTAGTGTTCACGTGTGAATCTTCTCTCTGCAGAGGACCCATGGTGATGGCAGCCAGGGGACTGCCTCCTGATGACCATGCTCAAGCAGATGCTGGGAGCCCCTGCTGCTGCCTTCTCCCGGGGCAGAGCCAGGTCCGGAGGGGAACCAGCCGCGTGTCTGTGGGCTCGGCAGGTGCATGCTGCTGCCTGGCATGCGGACCTACCGGCACGGCACAGCCCGCCTCCATGTACTGCACTGCCGGCCAAAACCGTGACATCTCCGAACGTGGCTGGTCTCTGGCCAGTGCAGGCCACCAGACTGTACCCGAGAAGGGTTGGTCGGGGCTTGGTCAAAACCAGAGCAGGAGCTGTGCAAACAGCAGCCCAGACGCCAGGTTCTGGTGCTCCCCATCACTGTCCGATTCGTTCAGCGCAGTTGGTGTTAACCCCTGCCTTCGGCCCCACAGCTGCGCAGGGAACCGCTTCCCGCGGGGGACCAAGGTGTCACCCAGCAACGCGTCGGTCCCGGGAAACCGCTGGGCAGAGGCTAAAACCAGCGAGAGGAGTGCGGCTGGGGAGACGCCGCAGCTTTGCCCGTGGCGGAGGGTACCTTGTTTGACCTTCCCAGCTCTCAGATGCCATCGTGTTTTCCACCTTGCTGCTCACGGGGCCTCTTGAGGACGTGCTCTGTTTGCTTTGGAGGGGGCCGGGTGCTTCGCACAAAGTGACCGTTCTTCCCTCCAGACAGTTTTTCCCCTCGGTGGGCTGGCCCTGTCACGAGGGCTGGGAGAAGGGCGGTGGGAGGGAAGCTAAAATAAGCTGTCTGGGGGGTGGTGGTTTCGTTTGCTCGCTCTGCGACATGCTGGGGTCCGCAGAGCAAGGGTTTGTGTTGGTAGGAAACGGCAGACCCTCGTGCCCAGCCTCCCCCCCCTACCCCTCCAGCTGGTGGGGTCTCAGCACGATGAGTTTAAATCTGTGGAATTGTCTGGGGCTTCAATGGCAGTGTGATCGCTGCTGCAAGGCCAACGACGAGAACCCGTCCCGGAACCGTCCCCCAACCCCCACCCCCCCTGCCGCTGCGCCGGAGCCGGCTGTCGCAGGAGCGGCCGAGGGCAGCGCGCGGTAACGGTCCTGCCACGGCCGCAACCCGCCCAGCCTTTCCTCTAATTCAGGGAACGACTGCAAACCACGTTCCTTTGGGGAACGTACCGGTGGATGCTCACATACCGCAGCCTGAAGCAGGGCCCCAGGAATCAGCAGCTCTGCCTCTCTGCCGGTAGCGTGTCTCGCCCCGGCGGAGCAGCGTTTGCCGTCTGTCTGCTCGCAGGGTGCCGGAGCTTTTTGAGTGACGAATTTCCTCCTCCACCACCTGCGTGCTTGTGTTTCCTTTGGCCCAAGCACTTCTGCTCCCTGCTCTCTCAGGTTGTCCTGCCCGGTATGTCTGATCCAGCCTGCCACTGGGTTTATTGCTTTACAGAACAAAACTCCCACCCAGGCGGGTGCGACGGGTTGTGGAATCAGCCCAGGGGGGCTCGATGCAGCAGGACAGACTTGTTCTGGCGGACGGCTGGATCTTGGGGGCGGGAGCGCGTTGGCCGGCAGCAGCATGATTCATGGTGGTTCTGCTAGGAGAGCCGAGATCCCACGGCTACGAGATCCTGGGGCTATGTGCTGGGGTTCCTTCAAGGCGAGGCAGCAAGGGCTGTACAAGTTCTGCAGGAAAAGGCCAGGCTGGGTTTGTAAGTCAGGTCTGACAGAGTCTTCTCTGATGAAGAAGGGTCGATGGTCACGCAGGCACCACGGGTGCGGAAGGACTGGCACCCATTCGCACAGCAGGCAGGCAGGGAACGCAACCATGGCGGGGAGAGATTTTTTGTCAACAGGAGCAGAGCGAGGAGGTTCTGAAGCCCCAAGGCTCTGCCCAAGCGGGAGCTGTGCTGAGTCATGCAAAATAGGAAAGAAGTGGGTGAAACAGGATCTTTGACAACCTTTGGGGATTCTTCTTGACCTGACCATCACGTCGGGACGGGGTCCAGCTCCCCTGATGCCGGTCACATGCAGAAGTCGCAAAAGAGTGGTTTAGTCGCTTAAAGAACCACCGTCAAAGGTGTTTGCAAGAAAGTATTTTAATGAGAATGTACAAAATGTGATTTAATGAAGTTTGTTGGCAACGTTCACTCTGTTACTCCCTGAATTAACGGAACACAAAACTGCAGTAGGACGGAGTTTGAGTGGTTCGTACAGAGACTGAAGCAAGGCGTGAGGGCGAAGGGAGACCCTCCCGCTGGGTCACCGGGCTCGGAACGGACCCCCTCGCTGTCCAACCCCCTCCTCAGCAAGGAGCCCGCCTGCCGCTGCATCCAGACCTGGCCTCACACCGCAGTGGTTCATGCCGAAAGGATGCATGGAGCAGCAGTCGAAGGTTTGTTCACAGAGAGAGAGAAAATCACAGCCCTTCAGCAGCAATTAATCGTTGGTTGATTTAGCGTTCACAAAGTGATCAAAAAGCACTCAGTACAACCACAATAGTGGGATATTATGGTTTGGGTTGGTTCGCACCCACGCAATACGCGTAGATAAAGGCACCTGTTAAGAATTCCCCTCCAGCTCGGCGGAACTCTCACTCCCAGTGGTGTTCCTCAGCAGGTGGGT